GCTGGTTGGCCACGTGACTGCGGCCTCACGCCAACCAGAAAAACAACACTAGGACAACGTCTTCAATGATCAGGAAGTAAGCTACGTGCTCGAGTCATCGGACCCTTATCAGACCCTTTCTGTCATTGAAAATGGTTTTCAAGTGTTGTGTTGTGTTGTTTTGTTGCAGAGAGTACTTGCTGGATCTGGTCGTGAGTTTTGCGAGCAGTACGTCTATTGTCGGTGATGTGTTTTGGTACCAGGAAACTCTGCCGCGTCGTCGCTACCCTACCCTGGTGGACACGCCAGGCCGGAGCTCAGAGTCGACGAAACCCCTGAGTGGGTGAGGCTCTGGGTTGCGGCCAGGCGGTCCAGCGAAAGTCGAGGGGCTCTCTCTTATGCTGTGGCCTCTAGACATCGCCGTGATGTTTGTTTGGTGCGCCGAGATGCAACTTGGAAGAAGAACGGCAGGTCTGTGAAGCCTGTCTGGCTTTCAAGTGAAAAGCGTTGGCCTTTTCGCCAGCATTGGCAGCCTGTGAGCCCAAGTTGCAAAGACGGCGGTTGCGAGCCCACTTTCTTCCACTCTCATCGCTGTAGGCCGTCTCCACTGCTTTTGGCGGTCATCGACGCCCTGACTGTGCCAGGACGACACATTGCTAACGAAGCTACTCTCGAAAGTTTTTTTGGAAACTCTCAGTTCGCATGCCACGAGTCGGAAAGTGAAAGTTCGAATCCAGTTTTTGGCGTGCTCTGCCTTCGGGAACAGGTTTTAGGGCCAAAAGTACGGGTGAGCCAGGTGAGCCACATAGTCAAGGACGGTTCACGAGGCTCTCTTCGAGGCGTGCGGGGGACAGTGCGAACAGCTACGTGAATGGGAGACAGTGCGAACAGCTGTTTGAGTGAACTCTAGGTTCGGAACCACTTAGTTTTCTTCACTTTTCCTTTTTCGAAGCATCTAGTTATAATTCCATTTCATAGCGTTCTGTTTTCACAATTCAATTCAGTTTTGTCTTTTAACTTTCCCCAGTCAAACTCAACTGACCTTCTTCTTCTTGTGTCGGAGAAGACGTTTCAATTATGTCTAACTTTGTTTTTCTTCGCTTTGTAACTTATAGCGAATCCACGTGCTTCTTCTTTGAACTTCGGAGGCCCCCCACTCCCCCACGTCCCGCCCCCGCCCTCGGCAATCCCCCTCTCCCCACCTCCTGCGTGCGGAACTAAGCTTCGGAACGTAAAGTTGACCTCGTTCAATTCTTCGACTGAGACTGGCGTTTGTCTTTCGTTTCTGCAGCCTGCCATGATCAGTCCAATTTTCTCGGCTACTTGTACCAAAAAACAGTCTGGAAATTGTCCTGCAAGAATTCAGCATGGTCCAGAACTTAGCGATTTGGAGATGCGTGTGGTTGGTTGGTGAAACTGACCAAGGCTAGACCGCTGCAGTCTATTTATTGTTAGCTTGCTAGATAGTTTTCGCTGTGTACAATTTCGTCGTCTGAATGCTGACGTGGTCGGTACAAGGCCTTGGTTTTGAAGAGTGATTAATTAGACTTGGTAAAAGTTTTGCTTTAGTGTTTTGGAACTGGCACTAAGGCATCTATGCTATAAGATCGACTTTCTTTGGCAAGGCCTCTACCCAGTTCCGAGCACCGTTTTCGTGCACGAAGTACCACCAGAGTCCGGACCCCCGCGAGCGAATCTGCAAAAAGAGTCAAGGTTTAGGCCATCTAGGGTTCAGGGCGTAAGGTTTAGTAGATGGGCCATCTACTAAACCTTACGCCCTAAACCCTAAAAGCCTTATATCTACTAGAGACCCAGAGAGTGGCTGTCCCAAGTTGTCCCAAACCTTGCCACACTCGGTCATTTTGCAGCAGAGGGTCTCTAGTTCCTGATGTGGCAACTGTAGCACTGTACGCCATCTTGTGCTTGGAGATCACAACAGTCACAAGTGCTCGGAAATTTGTGGAGTTGCTGCTGCTGTTGTGCCCAAGTTTACCTGGACCTAGCCAGTTGCCCTGACGATGATCTCGGTTCTCGGTATCTCTCCGACTGCATCTGCGACGCGAGGTCCTGTGCGCCCAGGATGTGAAGTCGGTTCGTGTCGTCCACTTCAAAACTCTCTGCAGAAAGCTCCGCATTCACTGACGCGCGGTGTTTGGGCAGTCGGGAGTCTCTTTGCTGTGTCGCTTTGCCGCGGAGATAGGGCTGCAATAGCCGAAGGTCGGTGTGAGCGCAGGGGCCGCAAGGGTGCTTCAGCTTGCCGGGCCTTGCCAGACCAAGTGCCACCTGCGGCTGCCAGCAGAGTCGTGATCAAGCCTGACGCTGAGGCGGTGGCTTTTGAGCTTTGTGCGGAGGTCGCCCGGGCTGCCAAGGAGGCCGTGGCAGCACGAGGCGCCTTTGCGCTTGCAATTCCAGGAGGCTCCATCTTGAAGATGCTGGTGACGGGGTCTTCGCAGTTAGAAGGTGTGGAGTGGGACAAAGGAGTCCTAGCCTACGTGAACCACAAGTGCGTCCCAAATGACGATGCTGCCGCCACGCACCAAAAGGCCACCGAGCTCTTTCTCAGTGGCTGGCCTGGCATGCGCGTCATTACAATGGGTGGCTGTGGAAACTTTAAGCGGAGCTACAGCCCCACATCCCTAAACTTCCTAAACCCCTATATAAGCCCCCAAACCCCAAAACCCCCAAAGCCCCTAAACCCTAAACCCCTAAACCCTAAACTCTAAACTCTAAACTCTAAACTCTAACCCCAAAACCCCTAAACCCTGAACCCCTAAAGCCCTAAACCCTAAACTCTAAACCCCCAAACCCCTGAACCCCAAAGGTGGCTCGGCAGAGGGCGGGGCGGAAGCGGCGCGCTACGAAGCTGAACTCCGGGCCTTGCCGGAGTCGACGCTGCCGCGAAGTGCCTCTTTCAAAAAAAGGGCCGGAAGGTTTGAAGAAACCCTTAAAGTAATCTTTAAGGAATCTAGAAGTCATTGAAGTCATTGGGGCTTCTATAAAAGAGGTTTAGTGTAGTAAAAAGACAATTCCTCAATGACCGGAGGCTCCGGACTACCCGTCTTCGACCTTTGCCTCATCGGCGTGGGAGATGATGGGCACTTTGGGTCGCTCTACCCGGGCCGGGAGGATCCGACTTCCTTTACGAAAAAAATCACGAGCAATGCAAACCCTAAAACCCTAAGACCCTGAATTTCGCTTCGGAATCCTTTAACAAAGCTTCGAAAAGCCAGAAGCCCTGAGGAGATTGCGGATGCGTCGGGCCGATGGGTCTTGGCTGTGGACATGAAGTCTCCTCCCAGCATCACGCTCTCGCCGGCAGCGATGATGTCTTCCAAGAAGGCCTAAACCCTAAGCCCGACTCCCTGAACCTTAGACAGAACCTGAAGCCCTGATTAATCCAAGAAGGTCCTTGTGGCCTCCGCTGGAGTTTCGGAGACTTTGCAAGCAGACGGCATGTATTTTGATATTTTTAACCAGTTCAATCAAGGAACCTCCAAATCCAGAATACCCTGAATAAATCCTTAAGCTTAAATAACGCTTAAATAAGTCCAGGATACCTCAAATCCTAAATCCCACACCCAGGAGAAGTACCCCATGGGCAAATCGGAAGCCATGAAGAAGGCCATCGAAGGCATGGAAGGCCCTCGTGCCTTCCCTGCTCAAGCCCTCAGATCTACGGCATGCTACTACGTTCTGCAGTGGTACCCTTTTGCCTTTTTTAATTTGGGATCCTCCTGATTAGAACTGAACGCAAGGGAGACAGGTAGCCTTACTCATTACTCAAGGAAGACGGTATCCTTGAAGGGTTCCTCTGAGGGTACCCTCAAGGACCTTTGGTTCCTTGAAGGGTACCCTAAACCTTAAACCCTAAACCCTAAACCCTAAACCCTAAACCCCTAAACCCTAAACCCCTAAACCCCTAAACCCTAAACCCCTAAACCCCTAAACTCCTAAACTCCTAAACCCCTAAGCCCCTAAAGCCT